ACCATGGTTCGAGTTTTGAAAAACGCATAGATGCATTGAAGAAAGAAAATCCTGTCTTTACAGAGGAGCAGAATCGATGATCCTCAGCGTCTTCGACTTGGTAACCTGGAAAAACAACTGGAGCAAGGGCGGAACTAGAAATTAACGTCAGGGGGTGCTCAATTCATACTCAGTCTGCAAATGATCTATTAGTATTGCCATACTCAGTCTGCGAAAAATTATAATTATGCGGTTGAGTTGGACCTCTCTCAACGTGCCGTCTTCTTAGTTCATCTCTAATTTCAAATGGATAACTTTCAATTGATTTTTGTTTTCCAATATCACCAATAATGTCACTATCCAACACTTCTCTTGCAATTCAGGGTTTTTTTACTACGATCTTCATTATCATTTACAATAGAAACCGATGTAGAATTCTTTGGTTGTTTAGGAGTAGGCTTCCTAATATCGGTCAATTTTTTCATAATGTAATGCCTAACAATAAACAAATAATTCAATCAGATTAAACCCAAAACTTATTATAGATAAAACCCTCAATTAAGTATACCTAAAATTCTAAAATTCTAAAAGAAAACGAAAAAAATTAATAATCTGAAACAAAACTAAAAAAACTAAGGAAAAATACCAGTACCTATTGGAACTATGCTGACTTTAATCGACAGAGGTTGTCTACTTGGTAGCCAAATTGTTATCGCCGCCGCAAGTGTTCGAGGTCGAGGAAGAAGAAAATTTGAGAACAAACGAAAAAATTGGGCTGCAAATTTGACTTGGGTTTTTTTAATTAGAAAAGGTAAAGAAAAGAATAGTAAAACCTTTCATATTTAATATTTAAAAAAATAAACCCAAAAATACTAATTAAAACTATGTCGTTTCATCTCTTCTTCTTCACAAAAAAAACCCAGCCCCTTTTGACGGGGCTGGGCGATGGTGGGCGCTCCTAGGCGCGATAGAAGCTTGGCTAGGCAGAGCTTGGCGCGACAGAAGCTCCCGGGGGTGCTAATCAGAGGAACAGAGGCTTGGCTAGGCTCCTGATCGGAAATTTTAGGCCGACCGGGGGTGCTTTGGCCTATCCAAGCCTTTGAATAGGTCCGCCGGTGGAGTTGCTGTGCGAAAGGGAAAACCTAAAATGGAAGCAAAGGGCTAAGCAACATTGGTATGAAGAGGGTAATCGTAATACCAAGCTTTTCCATTCTTATGCTAACAAGCGAAGATCGTTGAACCACATTGCTGGCTTGAAGGATGCAACAGGTGTGTTAAGGACTGAGAATGCTGCATTGGAGCGTATCATTGTGGACTACTATGGCTCCCTTTTCTCATCTTCAAAGCCTCTTGAATCTGAAATAAGGCAGGCAGTTGATAGATTAACACCAAAAGTGACGTTGGAGATGAATAACCGGTTGATGAGAGAGTTCACGTCGGATGAAGTCTTGACAGCACTTAAAAAATGGCACCCTTCAAATCGCCGGGTCCGGACGGTATGAGTCCAATTTTTTATAAAAAAAATTCTGGAATATAGTTAGAGTGGATGTTACAAATTCTGTTTTAAATTTCTTAAATTCTGAAATTTTAGATCCTCAAATAAATTATACTCATATTGTTTTAATTCCAAAAGTCAAAAATCTTGAATTTATAACTCAATCTCGGCCTATTTTAATTTCAAAAGTCAAAAATCCTGAATTTATAACTCAATTTCGGCCTATTTCTTTATGTAACGTAACCTATAAACTATGTTCTAAGATTATATCTAATAGGTTACGTCTTTTGCTTCCCTCAATTATTTCAGAATCTCAATCAGCGTTTATACATAGTCGTCTCATTACTGATAATATTCTTCTATCATATGAAACTCTTCGTACTAGGAATAAATCAGGCCTAATGTCCATTAAATTAGATATGAGCAAAGCTTTTGATCGTATTGAATGGTGTTTTTTAAAATCTGTTTTGCTTGCTCTTGGTTTCTCTCAGCCTTTTGTTAATCTAATCCATGAATGTCTCTCCTCAGTTAGGTTTCCTTTCATTTTAAATGGTGAACAATTTGGCAATCTTTTCCCAGAAAGAGGAGTACGTCAAGGTGACCCTCTTTCTCCGTACCTTTTCATCATATGTTCGGAAGTCTTCTCATGCTTATTACAGGACCTTCAGAGTTGTGGTCGCTTCCATGGTGTGGCAGTTAGTCGAAACGCTCCATGTATATCCCATCTTTTCTTCGCCGATGATACACTGCTCTTTGGAGATGCAACAGAGGATGAAGCTCGATATTTGAAGTGGGCAATCCAACTTTTTGAAAGAGTTTCTAGTCAAAGCGTCAACTTGGAAAAATCTGGAATTTTTTTCAGCCCCAACACGAATGTTGCCATCAGAGATTCAGTTTGCAGTATCATGGGAATTCCAGAGGTGGATGGTCATGGAAAGTATCTTGGTCTCCCTTCTATGCTTAGCCGTAACAAGCAGGAAGTGTTCCAAAACATGAAAGATCGTATTTGGCAAAAACTGAATCATTGGAGTTCAAAAAATCTGTCTAGAGCTGGCAAAGAAGTGCTCATTAAATCGGTTATCCAGGCGATGCCCTCATATGCAATGTCCTGTTTTATGCTTCCGGATAATATTCTGTTTGAGCTACAATCTATGTCCAACAAATTCTTTTGGGGTGATTCGGCAGACAGCAAGAAAATTCATTGGTCTTCATGGAATAACATGGCTCATAGCAAAAGAGATGGTTGTCTTGGCTTCCGTAACTATAAAGCATTCAACATCGCCATGCTAAGTAAACAAGCTTGGCATTTGCTCACTTCACCAAATACTTTGCTTGCTCGTGTACTGAAAGACAAATACTATCCTAATCAGAAATTTTTTGATGCAACTCTTGGAAGCAGGCCTTCCTGGACTTGGCGGAGCATACTGTGTGGTCGTGAGGTGCTGGAGATTGGATGCTGAAAACAGATTAGAAGTGGACAGCAAACTAGAATTTGGGAAGACAAGTGGATCCCCTTAGGGCCGACTTTCAGATCTTCAATTTCTCATTCTCCTTTGTTAGCTAATGCGCATGTTTCAGCCTTGTTTAGTGCAGATCAAAATGACTGGAATCGAGAGCTGGTTCGTCACATATTCCCTCCTGAAGAAGCTTCTGCCATTTTATCCATGGCATTACCACACTCTCAATCACCTGATCGCTGGATATGGCACTTCAACAGAAAGGGCAATCATACAGTGAAGTCGGCATACTATCAGTTATTGTACTCTCCTCAGTTCAGTTATCATGTCCAAGCTTCCAATCCTATGCCGGTGGGTAATTATGATCCTATTTGGAAGAGAATGTGGCAGTTGAAACTCCCAAACAAAACTCTCTTATTTTCTTGGAGGCTATACAACAACTTGCTCCCCACCCCATCAAACCTGGCTGCAAGACATGTTCTCGTTGATGATAGCTGCCCCTTCTGTAATCAGAACTCCATCACCAATGGTCATATCTTTTTTGATTGTTCATATGCAGTGCAAACATTCAGAATTGCAGGTCTACATCAGCAAATTTCACAACTGAAACGTCCCAATTGTGAGCAATGGTTTAGAGCAATAATTCTTGAAAACACGTTTGTATCAACATTATTTTTTGTTGCTCTTCTCTCTGGTATCTGGTGTGCAAGGAATTCTGCTGTTTTTGAGCAAAAACACATCACCCCTTGGTCTACAGTTCTTCATGCTAGCAGAGTTGTTAAGGACTTTGCTTCTTCATCAACAAATTAGGCTAGAGCTCTTCCTGAATTGCAAGCAATGAATACTCTCTTTCAACCTGTTGAAAACGCTGTCTAGATTTTCTTCGATGGATCAATTTCAAGCTCAAACCGATGTGCAGGCGCTGGAGTTTATATTCAGTCTTCATCAGGACAATTTTTGCATGGTTTGACTCGTCAATTTCCCGACGTTGTTGACCCTTGTCTTGCAGAAGCTCTTGCTTTACGTGAGGCATTGCTACTATGTCGAAGACTTGATCTTGTGGATGTTGTGGTTCAAGGAGACTCCTCAATCATAATATTTGCTGCTGCTCAAGATTCAGATTGCCCCAGCTGATGCTCCCCAGTTCTTGATGACGTGATATACATGTGTCAAGACCTTCCTGTCCGAAAGCTATCCTGGATTCGACGCGAAGAAAATGTGATTGCTCATAACTTTGCTAAGTTTGCAAAATCATCTGATGTTATTGAAACAATATGGAGTGGCCCTCCAAGCTTTGTAAATCAATCGGTGCTGGACCTTTTCCAGTAATGAATGCAATTTCATTTTTTTCTCAAAAAAAAAATAAATCTCCATCTTTCTCTCTGAATAAAAGAAATAATGATCGACGGCAGACGGCGATGACTCTGTTCCTTTTTTCCTTTCAATTCGAAGTTTCAGACTATAGAATGCTAACTTAAACCAGGTGAATCCAAATTTCTTTTCTTGTTATCTTCTTTCTAATTTAGATTTCATAGCCTGAATCTCTCGCCGAGGGCCCCAATTTCTAATAAGAATCGACAATGAATTGAGAGATTCTTTATGCAATCTTAGGCCGTCAAATCAAGCCAATATTTGAATTATGTTCCTTTGCTTCGTTCTTAAGGGTTTATTTTGCTCTTCTAATAATACTACCTCTTGTGGGTCATTCTTTCACTGGGGAAACACTTTGAACCATGGGACTAGGCAAGTATATTGTGCTTATAAAGATTGAGGTTGTTTATTTTCGATAAAAGGGAAATTATTTGTCAAAATTAAGGGGCTGGAAGTTTGTATCAGTTTACCATGTACAAATTTTAGAAAATGAAAACTAGAGTTACAAACATACCAAGAAATTGGTCACGAATAGAGCAGATAACTAATTAATTGAGGAGATGAGTTTGACTATTTATGCGATAGAAATGACGTAAAATAGTAATTGTAACTTGTTCAGAAAAGAGTAACATTTAACCCCCCTCTTCCCCACCCGTTCTCTCGGTGCATGTTAGCACCCTGCTAACTTGTGCCACGCTATGGCAAAAACAGGGAGGAAGACACAGAAAAAAGTCGGCGAAGCGGAGAAAAAACAGAAGGCGAGTGAAATAGAAGAGGGAATGGCAGATCAGAGTACGAATCGTTCAGTGGGGGATGTAGATCTGGAAGTAAGGATACAGGAACACCACCATAGTGGGGGCAAGGATGCGGTGTTGCCGGAAAATAGTGCTAGGAGGCGGGCTTCATGGGCTGAGGTCACTGAGAAACAGTAGGAGGTGAATCCATGGCAGAATTTTGATGTTGGGAAGATGAGAGGGAATGGATAGAATTTGGTTTTCATCCCGCCTCAAGAAATTGAAGGGCGGAAGATCTGTAAGGTGCAAGCCAGCAAAGTTGACATTGAGGCTCAATATTGGGAATCCTCAATCGTGTGATTCGTCTTGGGCTCAAATCCCCCGTATGCAGTCATGAACAAGCACGTCAGAAACCTATGGGGTCATCTCGGGATAGATAAGGTAATTTTACTGCCCTCTGGACTGTTTGTGGTACGATTCACTACGATTAATGCGCGTGATAAGGTGTTAAATTCCAATTTGTTTCACCTGGGTAGTAAGCCATTAGTAATAAAACCCTGGTCAGTTGAAAAAGGGATAAACTATCGGGAGATTACTAAGGTTCCTGTGTGGGTACAATTGAGGGGTTTGGAGTTGAAATATTGGAATATTGACACTTTAAGTAGAATGGCTAGTACGTTGGGGCTGCCAATTATGACTGATGAGCTTACTGCCAGTCGAGATAAGGTTCAATATGCTAGGATTCTGGTGGAAATGGAAATAAAGGAGCAGGTTCCTGAACAAATTTGTTTTGAAGATGAGAAAGGGAATGTGCAGGAACAGAAAGTGACTTATGAGTGGAAGCCAGTGCAGTGTCAAGGATGTAAGGGATATGGGCACTCAGGTGAACAGTGTAGGAATAATCAGGTGATGAAGCAGTCTGTAAGGAATGGGGAAAATAGCTTAAGGAGCTTGGAAATGACTACTGGTAAGATAACCAGTAATGAGGGAGAAAAGATGAAACAGAAAGAAGTGATGATCCAACAGAGGCAACAGGGGTATAAAGAGGAGAAGATATACAGACCAAATGCTACAGGGAGGAAGAATGAGAATGTAATTATGGAAAAGAAGATATGGAATAGCATGTATGAAAGAGGCAGTACATCAGAAAACAAGGAGATGACGGGAATAGAAAGTGAGGAGGTGATCGTGCATACTCTTGACCCTGATCCAGGGATCCATGAGTAATATCCTAATATGGAACATTAGGGGTTTGAATGCCCCATTAAAGCAGAAAGAGTTAGATAGACTCTTGGCTGCAAAAAGAGTTGCACTAGCATGTATAGTGGAGACAAAAACAAGCAAGGAAAAAGCTGAGGAAATAGGTCAGAAGTGGTGGACTAATCGGCAATGGTTTGCAACTTATGGGCCTACAAATAAAGGAAGAATCAGTATTCTTTGGGATGATTCGGTAGATATGCAAGTACTAAGAAGTGATGAGCAAATGATACACTGTTTAGTCAGGATGAAGGTAATGGACTATCAGTTTATCTTTACCGGAATATATGCATCAAACTGTGGAGAAAGTAGAAGGAACCTGTGGGAATGTTTAGTGGAGTTAAAGAAGCTAATCCACATACCCTGGCTTGTAGCAGGGGACTTCAATAACATAACTAAAACAGGAGGAGAAGTTGGGAGGGAGGCCTGTTATAGTAAATGAAGTGGAATATTTCCAAAGGTGTGTTGATGAGTGCGCTATACAAGACATGAGGCAGCTAGGGGCAAGATTTACGTGATGCAATAAGCAGATTGGAAGTGATAGAATCTGGGCAAAACTAGATAGGGCAATGATAAATGAGGAATGGGTTACGCAACAAAATGAGTCAATTATGGAAGTAATGGAGGAAGGGGTGTCTGATCATACACCACTGTTGGTCAGAGTCAATGGGGAGATAATGAGTAAACCTAAATCCTTTAAGTACTTCAACATGTGGAAGACGGATCCAAAATTTCAGGCAGTGGTGAAACAAAGCTGGCAGGAACCTGTGGAAGGTACAAGAATGTTCCAACTTGCACAGAAACTTAGGAGACTGAAGAACCCACTGAAAATGTTGAATCGGGGTACCTTGGCAAATGTTCAGGTGAAATGCCACCAAGCTTTTGAGAAATTGCAAGGAATACAACATGAATTGGGACAACATGTGGGGGATAAAGAGCTGCAGAAGCAAGAGCGTGATGCCTATGGAGAATGGATCACACTGAGTAGAGCACAAGAATTATTTCTGAAGCAAAAGGCGAAAGAAGACTGGATTAGGGAAGGTGACACAAATACAGCCTTCTTCCATGCGAAAATTAAGAAGAAAATGTTGATGAACAGAATATGGAGTATAATGAATGAGAAAGGGGAAGTGATACATGACTGGGAGCACATTGAGGAACACTTTATTCAATTCTTTCGGGATTTGCTGGGACAATCCTCTGAGAGAGTGGCAGCAGACAAGAACATACTTGCTCAGGGGAACAGAGTATCCACGCGGGATCAAATAAGATTAATCAGGCCAGTCACACGAGAAGAAATCAAAGCAGCTCTGTGGGGAATCTATTCAAACAAGAGTCCAGGCCCGGATGGTTATGTCAGTGATTTCTTTAAGTCAACCTGGAGCACAACTGGGGAGGACTTCTGTAAAGCTGTGGAGGAATTCTTTGAGACAGGTCAGATCTTAAAACAACTAAATGCCACTATCGTTGCTTTAATACCAAAAATTGAAAACCCTAAGGATGCTAGTCAATTTCGACCAATCTCTTGTTGTAATTTAATTTATAAATGTATTACTAAGGTCATTAGTAATAGGCTCAGTGGGGTGTTGCCTAGTATTATCAGTAGTAATCAGAGTGCTTTTATTCGTGATCGTCTTATTTTGCATAATACTCTGATTACACAAGAAATGATAAGACTTTATAGGAGACAAAATATCAGCGGGAGATGTGTAATGAAAATAGACTTATAGAAAGCTTATGATTCAGTAGAATAGGGATTTGTAGAGGACTGTTTGACAGGTTGGGGTTTTCCAAGCACATTTGTAAGATGGATAGTTACTTGTATAACTACACCATCATTTTCTTTAAGCCTAAATGGTAGTATTGTGGGGTTCTTTAGAGGGAAAAGGGGTTTAAGGCAGGGAGACCCTATGTCCCCGCTACTTTTTGTAATAGTTATGGAGTATTTTACGAGACAGCTTAAACTGGCGGCGGAGCATCTAAAGTTTAGGTTTCATTCGAAATGCAAGGAGTTAAAGATGACTAATATGTGTTTTGCAGATGACCTGTTAGTGTTTTGTAAACCAGATGAGTTCACGATCAAAACTGTTATGCAGTGCTTTAAGGATTTTTCAGCGACTTCTGGTTTAAGTGCAAATCTGGATAAATCGGATATTTATTTTGGGGGTGTCCCAGAAGATCTTAAGCTGAAAATAGGAGCACTAACTGGGTTTAGAGAAGGTGTTTTTCTGATGAAATACCTAGGGTTGCCGATGTCGCCTAAGAAGTAGAATAAGCAGGACTGTCAAAGATTAGTGGATCGAATGGTTGCTAGGCTCAAATGCTGGAGTACTAGGCATTTATCATATGCTGCCCGTTTACAGTTAATAAATTCTGTCTTGATGCATATGCATGTGTACTGGTCTACTGTATTTGTCCTACCTAAGAGCATAACTGAAAGGGTTAATAAGTGCTGCCGTGAATTCTTGTGGGGAGTCAAAGATTCTGGACACTATGTGGCATTGGTAGGATGGGAAACAATCTGTCACCGGAAGAATGAAGGGGGTCTGAGTATTAGAGACGTAAGAGTGTGGAACGAGGCTGCACTGATCAAACAAATCTGGTGGTTGACATTGAAAAAAGATAACCTTTGGGTTAAGTGGACCCATGAGGTGTACTTAAAAAGAGGTAATATTTGGACTGTTGAATCAAAACAGGATGATAGCTGGCACTGGAAGCAACTCCTCAAGCTCCGGGATAAGATAAGGAATGGATTTCAGGGAAGCAAGTGGAAACATAACCAGGTTGGAAAATATAGCATCAAGGAGGGGTATCACTGGCTAAATGGTAGTGTTGAACCTTGGATTGAGGCAAAATGGATCTGGAACCGAATGAATGTGCCAAAGCACTCTTTCATTGCATGGCTTATGTGGAAAGGGAGGCTTTGGACAAAGGACAGATTGCTGCAATGCCAGGTTAGTGTGATTGATGCTAGGTGTGTTCTCTGTAATTCCCAGGTTGAGACTGGGAAACATTTGTTTTTTGAATGCTGTTACTTCAGCACAGTTTTGGAAGGCATTAAGGCTTGGTTAGGGGTTAGAAGGCTGACAGGCCAAGATGACAGATGGAGAAGGGAGCTGAGATCACTATGGATGAATGCAAAACTGAAAAGGAGGATTTTGTTGGCAAGTCTGATGGCTGCCATCTACCATCTGTGGGAGGAGCGAAATTGGAGGATCTTTCAGAAGAAAAACAGAACAACAGTCCAACTACTGCAAATAATTAAAGAGGAGATTAGAATCAGGGTATTTTTTTGCTGTAAAATGTTTAGTAGTACAGAAAAAAGCATAGTAGAAACATGGTTTACTGGAGTGCAATGTATATGAGGCTCTGGATGATGAAAATGTAATAGGAATCTGAACGAAGGATGTAAGGAAGTGAAACTGATGGGTGAAATGAAAATAAAGTTTACTTTTGACCAAAAAAAAACTTGTTCGGAAAAAGGGGTAAACTAGTCACTGCAATATTATAAGATATAAAAATTATTTTAATATTAATCATAAAGAGAAAAATTTCCTAATGCCCTTGCGAATAATTTTGATCTTTCAAATGCCCGTTTCAAAAAATTTCCCTATAATTAAAGCAAAAGCAAGTTTCATTTCACTAAGAGTACGTATGTGTTAATTAGAGCAGTAAAGTGCACCTTACAATTGAAGGGAAGGGAAAGAAAGAGAAAAAAAAACAAAAAAAAAACCTCTATTTCTTAAAAGGTGTAACATTTTACGTCTTAAAATGTTATTTTCAAAATTGTGTTTTATGGTAAAACCTAAAATTTTGAGTTTAGAATAATTTAAATTTCCAGTTTTTGAATAATATTTCGATTATATAAGAAATTGCAAAAAGAAATCAATTGGTGGGAATTGAAGTTGAAAAAGGCAAAAAATTTTGTTGAAAATTTATGATCTTTTTACTTCAGATTTATCATCAAAAATTGCAGAAAAATGGATTGATGTGGGCCCACCACGCTTCTGCTGTGCCATTCTCTTTTTATCAAGTTCTCTGTAAGCAAAAAAAGAAAAGAAAAAAAAAAGAAAGAAGTAGAAGAAGACGCAAGATTCTCATAAATTTTGTTTACATGTTTCTATAAACTATTGTGTGTATGTTGATAGATTGTTTCACAAGTTTATTAATTGAAAAACTAGTATTATTCTCGTGTGTTGCTCGGCGAATTTTAAATATTATTACGTTAAAATTTAAATGATTTAGTCTCCATGAAGGGTTAATTATAAATGGCCCATGAACTTTATTAATAATGTAATTTTATATGAAAAATCTCAAGTACAGCGCAATCAAAAGCATTGCTAAAGTATAACAAATCGTATTCCATTTAGGTGTGTTTAAATTTCAAATGTGTAGATAAAATAATAGTTTAGTAAATACATTTATGCTCTCCATATTTAATTTAACATACCAAGTAAAAGAATTAAAAAGTAACTTTGTATTTAACGCTTTAACTAAATTCTTTCAACTGTTTAGTGAATGACCAATCATTAAATGACATATGTCTATAAAATCAATTGCTGGGCAACTAAAAGACATGTCACCACTCCATCTCCTTTCTTTTAATATATACTACTATTTGTCTCACACGTTGTTTGGGTTATTCAAGATATATATGAATTTAATAAGTTAACGATTATATGACATTCTGATGGAGTAATATATGTATGTATGTATGTATATATATATATACCTTATAATTGTGTAATTTTTAATGTCAATGTGTTTCGTTATTTTAAGTACATTTGGAATAATTTTCAATTTTCGAAATCATTCGTTGTTACTTATTATTCATGTTTTTTTTGTCTTGTTAATTCATAGTTTTTATATCGTTTAAAAGTATTCTCCTAATTTTTTATAGTGATCCCTCTAAATATTTCTATTCATTTCATATCCTTTAAACGCTCCTGCTAACAGGAAGTTTTCTCATT